AAACACAAATGGGCGAAATACGAGGTGCGTCTGGCACGCAGAAAGTGTCTGGTGCCCTGGGCAGGCTTATAACTACTTCACTCGTTTATTAGGTGTCTGTGAATACAGTAGAAAAGATCAATGGGGCCTGTGTTAGACTGTGGACAGGATTGTTGGGTTTTGCTCCCAGACTCCTCATTAACTGTTGTGATTTTGGGCAAGTAGTCAGCCTTGGTGTCCTTTGACTTCCCTATCTCGTAAATAGAATACAACTTAACTTACTTGCAGAAGGTTTTGTACACAGAATATTTAATTGTGAAGTTCCACGAGATATTTCCACAAGAAAAAATACTGTGTCAAAGAAAATACTTGTAGTAGGTATGCAAAACATTGAAATACTTGAAGATTAAAAACAAACATAAGATCCAGGCTATAGCTGCTCAGGGTGAATGTTTTCCATCTGATGTTTTGCTGCCTTAAGGGAGGAATCTGCTGAGAAGAGGACCCGTGCCCAGAACTGCTCTCTGCTACGCTCAGGTGACAGTCAGCCATCCAGAAAAGTCCAGGGTAACCGAGAACGGCAGGAGGTAACCATTGGGACAATTGTACCCTGTATTCAGTGGCTCTTTTTCTAGCACACAGCTGAGAGAAACACCTATTCTATTTTGAGCAGTAGCTGCTTGAGCTGATTGAATTTTGCAGGGAGGCTTAGTTCAGCCCTCTCTTTAAGATGGGCAGGTTTCATCAGAAGAAATGCAGTCACAGTCTTTCTAGGTCAGGAACACAGGAGCAAATGTAAAACCTGAAGGAATCTTTCAGGTCATTGAAACCAGTCCTTACAATTGTGGCCAGTCTTATCCTATGTAATTGCTTTCAAAATATCTCCAAGCTCCATTGTAAAACAAGGCTAAGTCAGGTTCTTACCTCCTTTAACTGAAATTCTACATCTGATAGTGAATGAAAATTTCTACCATTTTGTACACAGTATACATTTATATAATTTTTATACGTAGCCATTAGAATATTCTCCTAAATGGCTGTGTGGAAATAAGGGTGCATGTCATAACACAAAGCATTTTATTCCTGATGTGTATGTTTTAAAACATTTATGATAATAATAGCGGTTTGTTTAAATACCGTCACAAGTGAAGTTCTTTCTATTAAGAACCCCTGTATGTCCAGAGTTCTCAAGGCATTACTATATGTCTTAGTTTTCATATTCCGTTTTTTGGTTTTCATGATTGTTATTTGGAGGGGAGGCGTGAATATCAGCATGAAAGCTCAAACTTCTTTCTACTATGCCAGAAGAAAAGATATTTGTCACTGGGAGAGCTCTTGGAGCCTGAATTATGATTCAGCCTGAATGAGTACAGAGGTATTTCCCTTATCCAAAATCCCCTGTGAGTGTATGAACCTTGGCAGGTACAGAGAAACAGATCATGTTTCTCAGAGGAGTGGAGAAACGGTGATTCCTCCTGTGACAAAAAGACACAGTAGCACCTTTTTTTTGTTGTTGTTTGCCATCCCTTGTCATGATCCAGCCCTGTTTTGCTGGACTTTTTTTTTAATTGGACATTTTGTCTTGACCATACCAGGTAACCAAATGCTTATATTGAGTATAGTCACAGACAAACTCTTTTTTTCAGGGGTTTGAGATTAGTAATTGAATGTGCTGTTTAGGCAATTATTATTGAGTATGATAGTGCTGAGAGGCAGGGTAAAAAAACACTGTATCTGGAAATGTTACGATATCCTTTTAAAACATGAAATGAATTATCTTTACTACAGTAGGAATGAATCATCTTGATCAAGCATTCTTTTCTAACATCAGAATATGATGGTATATAAAATACAAGAACAATTTTCAAAAATATATTTTTATTCTCACTATGCAAAATTACTTCTGTGCTCTTTTTTTTTCCCCATTGCTAAACCAGATTAATGAGATTCAGTCCTGATTGTTACTATCATTGATCTTTCATACACAAAACCAAGTGCATGTGTATAAGCAAATGAATTATAGTTCTTGTCATGTGAACATTAAAATCTAGGTATCCAGTTCTGCAAACTCTCATGCATGTGAGTAAGACATCATTCGAGACAGACGTAACCCAGTCATTTCACAAACAAAGAATCAAGCATAAAAAGTACCCAACTGCTGTGCCTTCAGAAACCTTGACGGTGGCCTAGACTACTGACGCGTTGTGATCACTGCCCAGCTTGCTGACCAACAGTGTCTCATTGCTTCCTTATAATTCCTCTCTGTTCCTGTTCTTTTCTTGTTTTGGAAAAATAGGCTGTTAATAGCAACATGTGATAAGATTTACGACTAAAATTTTACTTTCATTTGCATCTCACTGGGAAGAGCAATGTATTAAATAGGACCTGGATAGCACACATGCAAAAATTCACGCTTTTCTCCAGTATTATCTTTAATTACATTTCATCAAATAACCTGATACAGAAACCATTTCAGGTATCAGCGGAAGGATCTTTTGAGACATTTGCAGAATAAGAAATATGTAATTATGTCTCGTATTTTATTGATGTTTGTACTGTATTCTCATTTCTCCTGTTAGCTGTTCTGAGTAACTGTGATTTTGAAAGCTTGACCTAAATGTTCTCTTCTCCATTACTGCAGTATATCTTCTGTATGAGCCTATCAACATACATTATGCTACAACTGAAGGAGGCATGAAAAATTAATGATTTACTATATTTATAGGATTCTCCATGGTGAAGATGGTCAGCCATGGAAAACATATTGCAGTAATAGTCCAACAGCTTAACAAATTTAACCCTGAAAATCAGAGCGTGGAGGATTTCTTGAATGAATCAGCTAAGATGTTGCAGGTATATTAAGTTTCAATTCATCTTACATAGCTTACTGTATTTTACTAGCTGATTTTAAACATGAAGATATCTGTTTCTAACATCATGTTGTAACTTTCATAAATTTTTCTTACAGTGACATTTTTCATTTATGACTAAAGTCCAAATTCTTTATGGTTATCAACCAGAAAACAAGGAAGTAAAGATCAGAGGTGTTGAATAACTGCTTGGGTAGCAACAAAAGACGGGGAAAGAAACAACTCCCTAAAACAGATCTGACAATGATAGGAAAAGCTTCTCTTCCACTCCCGACTAAGCTGTTTTGTAGTTTCCTATCTCCTTTCCTCTTTCCAAATGGAAGTTTCTGTCAGGAGCACCCATTTTGTATATACGAAAGCAGTTCAGAAGCTGACTACAGGATCAGGTATTATTGCTTTGAGGACATAAATGACCATCAGAATGGTGGGATAAGAAGCAAGTGACAGTAAATCACCTACCTGATTTTAATCTAATACTGCAAGTAACCAGACCAAGATTTGCCACTCTGTAGCTATGCTGGCTGAAGAAGTCCCCATCCTTTCCTAACCGTAGTCTGTCACCTCTTCCCATCTCTTTGTCCTCAGTGCCACCCTGACGTGTGCTCATGCAGCTACTGGATTGAATCAGCTTTAGAAAATCACTAAGCAAAGACAGTAATTGGTTAGACTGCTATTGTCTGTGCATGCCATGTATTATCAAACTACATTGTCAGAGCCCTGATTCCATGCTGCCATGTAGCTCGAGTGCTCGTTTCCACTTCTGACAATAAGGTCTAAAACGCTCTATTCCAGTTAGATAGACTTTTACATTGATTTTGCATAAACACAAATGACTACAAGAATATAAAACTACGAAGGTGTGATATGAAAATCAGAGGCTGAGGCAGTGGATCCATACACATTTCTTGGGTGTTTGCTTTCTTAAACAGTTTCCACTCAGGCTCCTAGTTTCTGCTGCTGCCCTCCAGCCTTGTAGTACTGGCATAACTCTTTGTGCATTTGTATGCTGAATTACATCAGGGAACTGATCCAGTTTCAAAATAATTATTTTTCACTGGGCAGAGAGCAGGTAAATTCAGCTGCCACTGCTGCCAAAATAAATACTTGTAAAAATTAATATTCAGATCATTGCTCTTCTAAGCCCAGGAAAGGTGATACAAAGACAAAGAAGCAGTAACTCCATTAGAGAAACATGAATCTTAAGTTTCATAATAAACCCTTTCAAAAGGGGAAGAACAGGGAGGATAAACTGATGCCAAAGATAAGGCAGAAATCTTTCTCTGGGATAGTTTCAGTTCACTTACTTCATAATATTTTTGCTGTGAATTTATCCAAGAAAGTAAAAAGTAAGATCCATGTTTATATAAAATTCAGCTTTGTTTCAGCACCAAATGGGTGATTATAATTCATCATGGAAAATTCACTTCACTTCTTTCTTTTCTATTTCATAATAGGCATAGCATCCTAAAAATACTGTAGCATTTTTCTATACATGATTTCCAGGTTTGGCCACTTACCAAGTAGCCAATATTAACTGACCCATGCAGAAACTTCTTCCAGTTTGTATCCTGATTAACGCCATCACTTTAAATCATAGACAATATTCAAGCCTGTATGTCTCATGCTAGCAGCATGACAAATAGCAAACCTAGTGTTGTGTACTACTGACCAGACAAAAATCAGGAGGGACAGATTCCAAGAGCACAAACCTAAATAATTGCAAGACACAGCTCTCTTTATATTTATTTACTTACTTAGCTATGCAGTGTATCAGACTTGACTTTTCTACAAGTTACTATCTTCTGTTCTATTAGAGTTTTCTAATTGGTTAATTAGTTTTCCGTCCCTTAAAAGTACAGTCAGACTCCAGTCACTATCAACACTGCATGTTTCATTCATATTATATATTTTTATTGTATTTGGATGTTTTATAGTCTTTATGTCCTTCTAATATGATACCTGAGGTGTCTTGTTTAGTTCTTTGATAACCTGTTGATGGCCTACATAACGTATGCTTGTTAGCCTGTTGTCCACCTGTTTGTGGTTGTTCCTGGTGAAACCAACAATCTTGGGCTAGATCTCTCAAAATGAAAGGACCGCATGCACAGCTCATTCCAGAATATGTTCAAGGGAGTTCAGCACCCCAGTAGTGTCTCTGCAGGAGCCACTAGGGATGCCAGTATTGTCAAGTGCACGATCCTGGAGATAAGTACCTCTGACAGCCACACATTCTCACCTGAACTGCAAGGGGCAGATAGCAAAGGACACTTTGCAGAGCAAAATCTCTGTCAGAATGAAGTAAGTTTTGAAGAGCAATATAAATGCTTGTAGGCGTTGATCAAAAGCAAATAAAATTACTTGTTTGGAAATCTAATAAATGAAACAAGGACATGGGCATCCGTGGCTGATCAGAAATGGGGGATGACATCAGTAAAGAATAAGAGATACCAGGCAGAATGGAACTGAGTTCTGAAGCATCTTGATAGCAAAGACAGGCAGCTTTCGTTTTATGTGCCAGATTCAACTGTTGAGATGCTAGGTGGAGTAAGTGGGTCAAAACAATGGACTAGTAGAACAATCTTAATAACATTCCAGATAGTTGATTTGCTAGAGAAAGATTGGATCAGTTAAACCCAGGAAAGACATGTTTATTACAATAAAATAGAAAATGTTGAGATACTACCTTAGATTTTTAGCTATGAAGCAATAGGTAAATACTACTTGAAACTTACTGTTCAAAAAGAGTGAAGAAGATGTGCACATAGACTGGTTATGATGTCCTGGAGAGTAGTCTATGTGAAAAAGGACCTCTGAAGTTATGGGCTTGACTGACAGGCAGGGTGGCAATAGTACCAATAACTGAGGGAAGAAGTCGCACAAGAGCACTGAAGTGTTGTTTTAGCGTTGTTGAAATTAAGCTGACAACAACAACAAGGAAATGTCACAGAGAGAGGCCAGCATTTTAGACTGTTGTTTAGGGTTCTTATTTGTGTACATGATAAATGTGAATATGTTATGAAAGGAAGTTGGATTTAGTCCTAAGGGACTGAGTCTGGAAGGCACAATCTGTCTTGATCAAAATATCCCTGTCAACAATCTACCAGGGGCATAAGACCATTCTTGAGGGAATCCTTGCAAATTAAAGCAGTAAAAATGTCTCGCGAAGGGAGGCACAGGAAAAGAAGTGAAAGTGGGCAAGCAAATAAGTGTTAAAATGAAGGAATTTATAATATGAATATATGAAAAAAAGAAAGAGGCAGAAAATCCAAAGGGTCAAAGCCGTAGGGTGACAATATACCAGCCACTGTGAATAACTTGCTTTGCAAATGATAGCAAAAAGTAACTGGTAGATTTCCATATTAGATCTTTTACTAAGTATAGAGTCAGTCTTTGCTGAATATTCTGCTCAAAATCCAACACAACATTTCCATTCGTTTCACTGTACTGCCACGAAGGTGACATAGTCCGGAGATTTGCGTAATAACACTTCAGCAAGATTTCGTTCTTAATCGCTAGATGCTCTAATTTTACTTACACGTAAGGTGAGATAAATAATTAAAACAAAGCCCCAAATAGGTGATTGTGTGAAAAAATAATAGTATATTTTGCTCTTTCATAACAGCTGTGTAGAAATTTTTATGTTTTGGCAGTTCACAATGGTTGGGAAATGGCTGTACTGTAGAGGTTTGGAAAACTCTGCTAGCCAAATTTTGGGCAGATGGAAGAGAAAGATAAACTGAGTTCTGTTCTAACCTCTATCATCTTTCTATCCCTGTCCTTTCTCTTACTCACCCTCAAGCTTACTTTCCTGGGTCTCTTTGTTTAACTTGTCCCAGTTCCATCTCTTCAAGTTGTTGATTCCAGTGCTATTGTCACTGTCCAGCAACTCCTGCTCGCCTCTGGTTTTGTTCTGCTCACTTCAAAGTTCTTGCACATTCAGGTCCAGTCTCTACTGTGCCTAAACTGAATCAGAAATGTCTCTCTCTCTTGAAACGGAAGCCCACAAGAGGCAGATGTCCCAGAGAAGATAGGCAAGACAGACTCCCTTCTATCAGTTTGAGCTCCTAGACTGACCCAGCATGGCTTGTCCCCCGTCTCATCCTGTGTCATAGCAAAAGCTCTGCTTGCCTTGGACTGGGCATGGTAAGGGCACACAGAATCTTCAGGGAAGCTTACTGCCACAGTATAAATTCACACAAAACACATGCAAGTGGATATTTTTCACTTGGCAAAATGTCCATGGATTTTCATAAGAAAACCAAAAGGCCAAATTTGTAAGGCACTGCTTGACCCCTGTGTGCCACTTTGAAAATACATCCCTAGCTGTTTCCCTGCATTTGGTTTGCAACTACTTACTATTTCCAAATAGCTAGTTAAAAACCTGAATATTCGACAACTTTCTATCAAATATCAGTTCCTTGTATCAGACCATGTGAGCCCTTCTCATCTTGTTCCTCTTGAATAGCATGGGAAGGTATCCATTAACTTCAACAGGAGCAGAAGCAACCTCTTGATTATTATTATTTTTATTTCTTAATGCATGTTTATACTTTTGTTTAAATATCACTGTTCCCATCTGAACATATTCTCTCATTGTAGGAAATCTTTTCTCAAGCTTTGAGATAGAAATCTGTTTGGAAAACATTTGGGTGTACAGTCTGCTTCCCGAGTGACTGCCCAAAGTCAGAAGCCTTACTCTGTACATGTATTGGCATAAATGAGATAAGTAGTTGGCCATCTTTATTTATAGAGAAAGGATGGCATTAGATACTGCTATCAAGAGTTATCTTTTTCTAGCTGTATGTGGCATTTAGCTTTACACAATCCATTTACAGTAACGGTGGCCGCATATATAATCCCTGTGTACTGCTTTGAAGAAGCACCCATCTTTCCCTGCATTTTGCAATTGAGGTGGATCAAGCAGATAACATATCCCATAACCATTGGGATACATTTTTCTTTTTCACTTATGGCACTTTGCAA